GGCGTATCAAAGGATCACCTTTAACCCTAAAAACACAGGCGTTCACAGGTGAGTAAAAACGGCCTTTCACCCTTTGATTTGGTGGTAAAGGTTTATTCACAGATGATCTTTGATTCGCGTCACAGATCGTCAAAAGCGTGCAAAGGCGACCTTTACAAAACCTTTAACAACACATTTGACGCGCGGTAAAGGCGATTTTTCGTGCCGTGATTCCCCCTCGTTCGGGTTGGCTCCCCTCCACTCTAACACCTGGAACAGGCTAGGTTTCAGTTGTTGTTTTAGTGTGACTCTGCGCCATATTTAACTTTTAAGACGGACTACGACCTTGAACCTGTCTTGTTTTCAGACCTTTTCACACTCTGTAGTCGTAACGTTAGTTTGTTCTTGCTATTGTTGCCTACAATAGAAAAATCACCTTGAGTTCTGATCCATGAACTCAATCAGTGTTTTGCTATTATTTCCTGTTCTGTCATTCTTTAAGTCATGCCGGCTTCTGCTCAAGTTTGTATCATTTTGTTTTTCAGAGGAAATCATTCGAATATTTTCTTAAACATTTGGACCGTGTTGGCCAGCTGGTAAGTGCTTTTATTTCAGCTTATTACACATATTATCGTGTGCTCAATACATTTAAAGTGTCGTGAGCACTGTTTGAAAAAGTTGAACAATTCTGTGACACGAGATTCTAGGCAGGGTCAGAGTTGTGAGCCAGATCACTGTAGGCCTGTTCAGCCGGTCCCCATCAAGGGAGGATGTCTCTCGCGAAATGTTTAGACAAACACCTAATTCTGACATTCCAAGATTCCGCAACAACTTTTCACTCACTTGACGCATAAGCTCTACTCCAGTCCCTGAACTCTTTCTGCCCTTCTCTATATTGTGGGACCATATATGGCAGAACGTTTGAAGCTCACGCGCACTTAGTGACCACGTATTAATTACAAGCAGTCCTTGAAAACCCTTGAAAACCCTTGAAAAAGGAATCCGGTCGTTTCGCCTGTAAGTAGTTTCGCCTTCAAGTCGATTCGCCTTCACTGAAGTCGATTCGCCTACACTAAATACTTATCACTAAATGCTAAATACTTATCTAAAAATTGACAAATAGGTTTACAGTAATTATAATAATGTTTTTCGGAAGAGTATTCCACAGCGACGGTGCGGCTATGCTGAATCAACAAACGTGCTAATAAAACTTGAAGATCACCAATAGGAACTCGTCATGTACGAAGAGAACAGAGAATTAAACTTCACCTTTAACTTGAAATGATATGTGCGCGTGCCTACTTTTTCGTCGAAGCGAACAGTAGACAGTTTCCCCTTCTTGGTCAAACACTGTAATTTTACCCCCGATTTATCGGAATCTCCGATTTTTCGAACCAACTTCCGTTTCCCTTGGAGGTTCGAAAAATCGGGATTTCATTTTACATGCATCGTGTTACGCGTTTGGTGCACTCTTTTAAATCAACAGCAAATCGATTTGCGCTACAATTTTACGGTGAATTTAACTGGAAATAGGATCAAATAGGACTCCCCTGCTCCGTGTGGGCAGTGATGTTCATCTATCTTCGCAAAATATTTTCGACTTAAGTGTAGGCGAAACGACTTTAATGTAGGAAAATCGACTCAGATCGTGTAGGCGAAACGACTTCGGTCGTGTAGGCGAAACGACTTCGATGTAGGCGAATCGACTTGTAGGCGAAACGATTAGCCTTAACCTGTTAAAAGTTATAATGGCTGAAACAGTAAATTGTTTAGCTGCTATCTTGCAGATCGCGTAATTAATGCTGAAAACTTATTAACTGAGAGTGAGGTCTTTGCGGGAAAATATCAAACCGAGACTTTAATGTATCGACCGAGTGATAGTCAGGTCAATACAGCAAGGTCAAGGTTTGAGATTTTCTCGTAAAGACCGAACATTCGAGCTTAATAAGTTGTTTGTTATATGGCTTTTTGCTTTGTTCTTGCAATCCTGTAATCGGCCCGTTGGTATGCCCTACAATTGGCCAATCAGAGCTCGCGTTATATCAGCCACAAACACAAGTCATATATGGTACTCTACTTACTCACTAGACTGAGTTCAAGCAAGAGATTATGATCCCTATTCTCTTGGTTCAAATCACTCGCTCAAATGACGAATATTTTCATCATTTATAGCAAGCAGTTGACAGTAGATTTATTTGTTATCAGTTAGCTGTGTGTGGTTCGTTCCTGGTTTTAGTACATATTCATTAAAATTGGATTTGGATCCAATTCTTGACAATTTTGGACTGGGGTATCATAAGCGTTTGCCAGTCACCTCTTGCATATTCCCTTACTTTATAGTGTATCTCAACAGGGCCCGAACCAGTAGATACACTTAAAATTGCCGGTCTGCTTATCTGCCAACTTGAAGTAAATTGTTTTCCGGTGTAAACTCTACAAAATATGGGATGCTAAAATTGGTAGGACGGCCCGGGCTCAAGTCAAACACCCGAGGAAAACAGACTTTGCCTTCATTACACAACCGAAAACACCCAAAGGCTATGATGGTCAGCCACACCCACAATATGTCAGTTTTAATTGACACAGCGATATATATAGGTTTAGAGCACAATAGATAAAATTACATCGATATACTTCATGCAGCACTGCCAGACACGTAAACCTCTATATATGGGGACAGTGTAACTGAGGTTCTGAGGTTATTGTCAAAACGACAAAACAATAACAATATTTTGACAAAATCAAGAAAAAAGATTCAACTTATAGCAGACCACAGCAGACCGTAGAATGTCACAAATTTTTCGCAAACTCGCTTACCATGAATCTTTGCGTACTATGCTTGGACCCAGTTCTCTGTTCAGTGTCGGCAAAATATAAATTTATGTTAATTCCGATTGTATCTCAACTATTACATTATGTCAGTGTCGATTGATAGGTATAAATCTGATTACTTTCAAATAAGTGAATGACATTCTTTAGTTTAATATTCTCAATGTAACAACTAACTTTAAATGTAAATAAATTCTAGTAACTAATTAAAGTTTTCTTCTTTACTGAAGGAATACCTGCCTACAAAATCGGATGCTCACTATGCGAAAGCAGCAAAATACCTTGGCGGCGTCACGGAGAACAAGTTGATTTTCAACTCTCTTACGTTCAACTTTATCCACATTAGTGTTATTAACAATATCCCAAATTATAGCCGCAATTCAGCTATGTGGTGTCGATCTCCTGTGTTTCAAAATGCAACATCCATTCTTTTCTTTGTGTCGTGTATAACTTACGACCACTTTAAGGACGGAATAACGAATTGCCTTGTGGACTCATGCGACCTCTTTAGTATAATAGTCAACAACCCTTTCTTTGCTCATAAGTCAGTCATCCTTTTCTTCACCAAGGCAGACCTTTTGGAGGAAAAGATCAAACACTCGAACATAAAGGAATACTTCCCAGAGTTTCAGGGAGATCCACGAAAACTAGAAGATGTGCAAGGCTTTCTTTTTCAGATGTTTGATGACAACCTACGAGGAGGAAAGTCTAAAGCTCTATATCATTACTTTACCCCGACCGGTAACACAGAAAATGTCAGACATGTTTTCGCTGCAGTGAGGGAAATTGTATTGGAGAATAATTAGAAGTCAGTTTGGGCTTATTAACTCAAAAAGGGAAAGCCAAACACCATTTCAAGATATTATGTTGGGAATCATGAAGGAAAAATAATTTAACGTTAAACTATTACTGACAAAAATCGAAGAACTTATTTACTTGATTCTCTATGGTAAAACAAATGCAATACAAGAAACAGTTTTTAATGTGTTTGGGCGTGGTTTGTTCTAAAGTGATTTAAAAATTAAACTATACATTGTTTTCTTAGAAATATGAACAAATACTTTCATGATTTTAACGTCGCGATTCTGATACTCATTTGATTAAACCATTAAGAACTTGATATACATTTCGTGATTGCAGAATGGGTGCTTTCCATTTGAATAGAAAAACAAAATAGAACGGGTCTTTCCACTGGAACTGATTTGTTGGAAAATACGGAATACCTTTGAGGTATTCCTCTTTTCTTGTTTTTACCGGAATGATCAGAAAATCACTGCACCATTTGCTTTTTCTCGCTATTCCCCTGCTCCTTGATGAAATACATTACTTGCAAGAAATTTTGGACGTTAAAATTCCAGACGTTTAATTTTCGGACACTTGGGTGCAACATAGCTTAGTTAAATAAATTTACGGCTGCAAAACACAAATTAGGCTGAAACAACATCAAAGGATGATAACTTCACTGCGCCCTCAAGGTTTTACGAACACAACGACGCGAAAATAGCGCAAAATTCTATCAAGCCTCTATAGTAAGCAGCTGCGGCCACCTATTGGTAGTCCCGATGAGGGAATTTCAAAATTTAATACACGAACTATAGCTTTGTTTTGGAAAAGGCGATGACTGATAAAGGTCTGAAATAAGAAATTAACCCCGTGATTAAAAATATTCAAGGTACTTCAACCCTTATATAGCGACCACCTCACATTTCCCCGAGGATGGCCGCCTAATAGAAGTTCGATTGTGTACGATTTGTGATTCAGTCTCATTTTGTAGGTAGCCGGTCGTTTCGCCTACAAGTCGTTTCGTCTGCAAGTCGATTCGCCTACATCGAAGTCGTTTCACCCACGACCGACGTCGTTTCGTCTACACGATCTGAGTCGATTCGCCTACATTGAAGTCGATTCACCTACACTGAATACCTATTACTAAATACTAAATACTTATCTAAAAGTTGACAAATAGGCTTACAATAATTATAGTAATGTTTTTCGGAAGAGTATTCCACAGCGACCGCGCGGCTCTGCTGAACGCCGTCTCAACAAACGAACTAACAAACTGGAAAACCGTTGCATATTTAACGTTATTTACGTACCAAGTCGTATTCAAATTTGGTTTCCCGACGTCCGTCACGGCATCAGGGATCGGCCATTAGAATAACAATTTTGACTGAAAAGTTGCTCACACAGTGAAGTTCTTTTTGCACAGCGAGGACAGCCGCTAGCACCAGCTTTCACTAGGAGCTTCCCCTGACAATTTTTGTCGTGAATTTTAGAGTCGCCTCTGAATATGATTCGACGGAGTTTCTTCCAGACGGTTTTACTTTTAATGTTTACATTCTCCACAACGTTTTTCTGGACAACCTTAATTCTTTCTTCCGTTTAAATCTGAGGGTAAATTCTTTTATCGTTATTTAAAAACTATAGGACAAAGCTGCATTTTATGGGTGATTTCGCTGAGCGGGCGCTATCGTCCGATAGTCGCCCGTAGGCGTTCTATCGCCCTTACTACGTGATCGGTTTTGGCCGATATCGATGACAACAAAGTAAAATCTAGCGCGGTGAAGTGGATAAGGTCGTCGATAGCTCAGCCAGCTGAATGAGCCATTTGGATTAGCGTACTAGCAGAATAGCCTTTTTCGCGGGTAAACTTTCTTATTTGCATAGCATTACAATAAAATCCAGGATGCGTGTGTGTGTGTGTGTGTGTGTGTGTGTGTGTGTGTGTGTGTGTGTGTGTGTGTGTGTGTGTGTGTGNAAACGGTAAACGTTTTCCGATTGCATTATAGCAGATGTGGAATCCAGTATGTCTGTCGGGCAATTTTGCAGTTTCTGCCCAAAATTGCCTCGCACCCACGTTGGATTACATTGCTGTAAAAAGGTTATTCTACTAATAGGACAGGCATAAGATAAGATTATTACGTTTGTTGTGTAGTTTTTCAGTACTGGAAATGAGCTTCCACTTTGAATACACAACTATTGTACGTCCACTCTCCCCACCTAGGGGGGAAAATAGGAAGTCAAAACGAAAAAAAAAATTAAAACTGTGGATTACCCAACCCGTTTTAAAAAAGCTACATAGTACTAGTTTCCAGGATAGAACGCATGTTCTTTTTAACGTCTCTTTTTTCCTTGCCTGGTGATGTAATACCTCTCTTTACTTATCCTTCTTTCTTTCCGCGCAATGAGTCTACATACAGGCTGGTGAAGACCTAACTCTTTCCAGTTCACATATGGACAGCAAGTGCGCCCAGCCAGCGACTGATCGATCAGGGAACTGAAGATAGCCTGCGAGCAGGCTCACGTTGGAGCACAAGCGCGCGGCGAAGCCGTGAGCGCGAAATCGAGCGGCGAAGCCCTGAGACGAGAAACGAGGCGAGACGAGACTTTCTTGGCGCCTCTTCACCAGACTCTTTCCCGTCGGATCGCTTTGTTATTCGCCGCTTGTGCGTGTGACTCAAAGGTGAACCTGCTCGCAGAGTATGGGAGGATAGCGATTGCCTTTCACGCAGACGCTCTTGAGCTCGTCACGCAATCTTCCTCCCCTGCGAACGTCGTCATGGTTTGCGTTCGGTTGTGTCTAAAGGCCAGATGTGACCGGATTGTGCAAAGGGCCTATTCCTTTTCGTAACACCATGGTCGCCTAATTTGCATTCATGTCTCACAGGCAACAACGGTTGTATGAGGTTTACTGCCAGCTGTACTGCAGCTGCTGTATCAGCAAAGCAGAATTACGATCGAGGGAAATAGACAGACAAATTGCTGAAGATAATCGTCGACACCGTAGCCAGATAAACGTCTTAGTTTTAGGGGCCCCAGGAAGCGGGAAAAGCACGTTCCTCAAGCAAGCAAACGTCTTATTTGGTAAAGATTTCAAGAACGACGAATTAGATGAATTTCGTCCCATAATTTATAGTGGCATTTTACTGCGAATTAGGGTCCTGGCTAATGAGCGAAGGAAGTTGAAACTGGAATGGCAAGATCCTTCGAACCAAAAGCACGAAGAAAAGATCTTGAATTTCCAAGCGCCTCAACACGTCGACACAGATAAGTTTATGAGCTACTTTGAAAGTATTAAGAGTCTTTGGTTGGATAAAGCAGTTCAAGATGTGTATGCGGGAAGAGGAAGATTACAGCTGGTGAGAAATTGTTCATTTATAAACTTTTATTAATCTGATCTGTAGGAGGTTATATTGCGCTTCCTAAAACGTTTACTTGACAGTCATAATTTATATTGCCATGTATTTCAGGACTTCTCGAGCAATATCAGATTATGCGCAGTTTTTAAGCGGATCTCGGCGGCAAATTGATGACATGGTTATTCATCATCCTACAAGTCACGCTATCTAAAAACTTCAACTTTCCTCCACCTTGGCCTTGGCTATCAGTCCGTCAATAGGCCATTGAAATTGTTCAGTTTTGCGGAAGTTGTGAGAGGGGGGTTAAGCTGTCGAAAATCTATGGCGAAAATTTTCGTTATGAACTAAAATGTTTCCATTTGACTTATAATTAAGTTATTAGTCCTGGTACAATTAGCGCGAGCGCGTTACACGAGCTCGCTCTATCCTTCTTTGCCTTGTCCCCAGAGCTTGCGCTTTTTTCGGTGACAGAACGCCCGATGCTCTGGACTGGAACTGTCACTGGAACCAGAGAATGATCATCCACATGAGTTGTGTTCAAAATGGCTTCTTGGCATGCTAGAGGGAGTAACTGCTGTTCTTTTGTTAACCAAAAGGATCGCGGCCCCTTGGAAGGACATCGTGCCTGAGCTTATAAGTTGCTGGGTTCTTAGAATGGACAACCTTCCCACAATATCTCACTTCTAACAAGAACTCATCTTGAGAACTTTGCCGTTTTTGTGTATTATTTATGTTGCTGTTGTTGTTGCTTTTCAAGTAGAAGATTTAACTTGAATTCCACTCAATAAATCCATGTTTAGTCCGAAACGGTTACAAAGAGGATGTTTTTGTACTGTTTTGTCCTCCTGCTCCTCCTCCTCCTCCTCCTGCTCCTGCTCCTGCTCCTNCCTGCTGCTCCTCCTGCTGCTCCTCCTGCTGCTCCTCCTGCTGCTCCTCCTGCTGCTCCTCCTGCTGCTCCTCCTGCTGCTCCTCCTGCTGCTCCTCCTGCTGCTCCTCCTGCTGCTCCTCCTGCTGCTCCTCCTGCTGCTCCTCCTGCTGCTCCTCCTGCTGCTCCTCCTGCTGCTCCTCCTGCTGCTCCTCCTGCTGCTCCTCCTGCTGCTCCTCCTGCTGCTCCTCCTGCTGCTCCTCCTGCTGCTCCTCCTGCTGCTCCTCCTGCTGCTCCTCCTGCTGCTCCTCCTGCTGCTCCTCCTGCTGCTCCTCCTGCTGCTCCTCCTGCTGCTCCTCCTGCTGCTCCTCCTGCTGCTCCTCCTGCTGCTCCTCCTGCTGCTCCTCCTGCTGCTCCTCCTGCTGCTCCTCCTGCTGCTCCTCCTGCTGCTCCTCCTGCTGCTCCTCCTGCTGCTCCTCCTGCTGCTCCTCCTGCTGCTCCTCCTGCTGCTCCTCCTGCTGCTCCTCCTGCTGCTCCTCCTGCTGCTCCTCCTGCTGCTCCTCCTGCTGCTCCTCCTGCTGCTCCTCCTGCTGCTCCTCCTGCTGCTCCTCCTGCTGCTCCTCCTGCTGCTCCTCCTGCTGCTCCTCCTGCTGCTCCTCCTGCTGCTCCTCCTGCTGCTCCTCCTGCTGCTCCTCCTGCTGCTCCTCCTGCTGCTCCTCCTGCTGCTCCTCCTGCTGCTCCTCCTGCTGCTCCTCCTGCTGCTCCTCCTGCTGCTCCTCCTGCTGCTCCTCCTGCTGCTCCTCCTGCTGCTCCTCCTGCTGCTCCTCCTGCTGCTCCTCCTGCTGCTCCTCCTGCTGCTCCTCCTGCTGCTCCTCCTGCTGCTCCTCCTGCTGCTCCTCCTGCTGCTCCTCCTGCTGCTCCTCCTGCTGCTCCTCCTGCTGCTCCTCCTGCTGCTCCTCCTGCTGCTCCTCCTGCTGCTCCTCCTGCTGCTCCTCCTGCTGCTCCTCCTGCTGCTCCTCCTGCTGCTCCTCCTGCTGCTCCTCCTGCTGCTCCTCCTGCTGCTCCTCCTGCTGCTCCTCCTGCTGCTCCTCCTGCTGCTCCTCCTGCTGCTCCTCCTGCTGCTCCTCCTGCTGCTCCTCCTGCTGCTCCTCCTGCTGCTCCTCCTGCTGCTCCTCCTGCTGCTCCTCCTGCTGCTCCTCCTGCTGCTCCTCCTGCTGCTCCTCCTGCTGCTCCTCCTGCTGCTCCTCCTGCTGCTCCTCCTGCTGCTCCTCCTGCTGCTCCTCCTGCTGCTCCTCCTGCTGCTCCTCCTGCTGCTCCTCCTGCTGCTCCTCCTGCTGCTCCTCCTGCTGCTCCTCCTGCTGCTCCTCCTGCTGCTCCTCCTGCTGCTCCTCCTGCTGCTCCTCCTGCTGCTCCTCCTGCTGCTCCTCCTGCTGCTCCTCCTGCTGCTCCTCCTGCTGCTCCTCCTGCTGCTCCTCCTGCTGCTCCTCCTGCTGCTCCTCCTGCTGCTCCTCCTGCTGCTCCTCCTGCTGCTCCTCCTGCTGCTCCTCCTGCTGCTCCTCCTGCTGCTCCTCCTGCTGCTCCTCCTGCTGCTCCTCCTGCTGCTCCTCCTGCTGCTCCTCCTGCTGCTCCTCCTGCTGCTCCTCCTGCTGCTCCTCCTGCTGCTCCTCCTGCTGCTCCTCCTGCTGCTCCTCCTGCTGCTCCTCCTGCTGCTCCTCCTGCTGCTCCTCCTGCTGCTCCTCCTGCTGCTCCTCCTGCTGCTCCTCCTGCTGCTCCTCCTGCTGCTCCTCCTGCTGCTCCTCCTGCTGCTCCTCCTGCTGCTCCTCCTGCTGCTCCTCCTGCTGCTCCTCCTGCTGCTCCTCCTGCTGCTCCTCCTGCTGCTCCTCCTGCTGCTCCTCCTGCTGCTCCTCCTGCTGCTCCTCCTGCTGCTCCTCCTGCTGCTCCTCCTGCTGCTCCTCCTGCTGCTCCTCCTGCTGCTCCTCCTGCTGCTCCTCCTGCTGCTCCTCCTGCTGCTCCTCCTGCTGCTCCTCCTGCTGCTCCTCCTGCTGCTCCTCCTGCTGCTCCTCCTGCTGCTCCTCCTGCTGCTCCTCCTGCTGCTCCTCCTGCTGCTCCTCCTGCTGCTCCTCCTGCTGCTCCTCCTGCTGCTCCTCCTGCTGCTCCTCCTGCTGCTCCTCCTGCTGCTCCTCCTGCTGCTCCTCCTGCTGCTCCTCCTGCTGCTCCTCCTGCTGCTCCTCCTGCTGCTCCTCCTGCTGCTCCTCCTGCTGCTCCTCCTGCTGCTCCTCCTGCTGCTCCTCCTGCTGCTCCTCCTGCTGCTCCTCCTGCTGCTCCTCCTGCTGCTCCTCCTGCTGCTCCTCCTGCTGCTCCTCCTGCTGCTCCTCCTGCTGCTCCTCCTGCTGCTCCTCCTGCTGCTCCTCCTGCTGCTCCTCCTGCTGCTCCTCCTGCTGCTCCTCCTGCTGCTCCTCCTGCTGCTCCTCCTGCTGCTCCTCCTGCTGCTCCTCCTGCTGCTCCTCCTGCTGCTCCTCCTGCTGCTCCTCCTGCTGCTCCTCCTGCTGCTCCTCCTGCTGCTCCTCCTGCTGCTCCTCCTGCTGCTCCTCCTGCTGCTCCTCCTGCTGCTCCTCCTGCTGCTCCTCCTGCTGCTCCTCCTGCTGCTCCTCCTGCTGCTCCTCCTGCTGCTCCTCCTGCTGCTCCTCCTGCTGCTCCTCCTGCTGCTCCTCCTGCTGCTCCTCCTGCTGCTCCTCCTGCTGCTCCTCCTGCTGCTCCTCCTGCTGCTCCTCCTGCTGCTCCTCCTGCTGCTCCTCCTGCTGCTCCTCCTGCTGCTCCTCCTGCTGCTCCTCCTGCTGCTCCTCCTGCTGCTCCTCCTGCTGCTCCTCCTGCTGCTCCTCCTGCTGCTCCTCCTGCTGCTCCTCCTGCTGCTCCTCCTGCTGCTCCTCCTGCTGCTCCTCCTGCTGCTCCTCCTGCTGCTCCTCCTGCTGCTCCTCCTGCTGCTCCTCCTGCTGCTCCTCCTGCTGCTCCTCCTGCTGCTCCTCCTGCTGCTCCTCCTGCTGCTCCTCCTGCTGCTCCTCCTGCTGCTCCTCCTGCTGCTCCTCCTGCTGCTCCTCCTGCTGCTCCTCCTGCTGCTCCTCCTGCTGCTCCTCCTGCTGCTCCTCCTGCTGCTCCTCCTGCTGCTCCTCCTGCTGCTCCTCCTGCTGCTCCTCCTGCTGCTCCTCCTGCTGCTCCTCCTGCTGCTCCTCCTGCTGCTCCTCCTGCTGCTCCTCCTGCTGCTCCTCCTGCTGCTCCTCCTGCTGCTCCTCCTGCTGCTCCTCCTGCTGCTCCTCCTGCTGCTCCTCCTGCTGCTCCTCCTGCTGCTCCTCCTGCTGCTCCTCCTGCTGCTCCTCCTGCTGCTCCTCCTGCTGCTCCTCCTGCTGCTCCTCCTGCTGCTCCTCCTGCTGCTCCTCCTGCTGCTCCTCCTGCTGCTCCTCCTGCTGCTCCTCCTGCTGCTCCTCCTGCTGCTCCTCCTGCTGCTCCTCCTGCTGCTCCTCCTGCTGCTCCTCCTGCTGCTCCTCCTGCTGCTCCTCCTGCTGCTCCTCCTGCTGCTCCTCCTGCTGCTCCTCCTGCTGCTCCTCCTGCTGCTCCTCCTGCTGCTCCTCCTGCTGCTCCTCCTGCTGCTCCTCCTGCTGCTCCTCCTGCTGCTCCTCCTGCTGCTCCTCCTGCTGCTCCTCCTGCTGCTCCTCCTGCTGCTCCTCCTGCTGCTCCTCCTGCTGCTCCTCCTGCTGCTCCTCCTGCTGCTCCTCCTGCTGCTCCTCCTGCTGCTCCTCCTGCTGCTCCTCCTGCTGCTCCTCCTGCTGCTCCTCCTGCTGCTCCTCCTGCTGCTCCTCCTGCTGCTCCTCCTGCTGCTCCTCCTGCTGCTCCTCCTGCTGCTCCTCCTGCTGCTCCTCCTGCTGCTCCTCCTGCTGCTCCTCCTGCTGCTCCTCCTGCTGCTCCTCCTGCTGCTCCTCCTGCTGCTCCTCCTGCTGCTCCTCCTGCTGCTCCTCCTGCTGCTCCTCCTGCTGCTCCTCCTGCTGCTCCTCCTGCTGCTCCTCCTGCTGCTCCTCCTGCTGCTCCTCCTGCTGCTCCTCCTGCTGCTCCTCCTGCTGCTCCTCCTGCTGCTCCTCCTGCTGCTCCTCCTGCTGCTCCTCCTGCTGCTCCTCCTGCTGCTCCTCCTGCTGCTCCTCCTGCTGCTCCTCCTGCTGCTCCTCCTGCTGCTCCTCCTGCTGCTCCTCCTGCTGCTCCTCCTGCTGCTCCTCCTGCTGCTCCTCCTGCTGCTCCTCCTGCTGCTCCTCCTGCTGCTCCTCCTGCTGCTCCTCCTGCTGCTCCTCCTGCTGCTCCTCCTGCTGCTCCTCCTGCTGCTCCTCCTGCTGCTCCTCCTGCTGCTCCTCCTGCTGCTCCTCCTGCTGCTCCTCCTGCTGCTCCTCCTGCTGCTCCTCCTGCTGCTCCTCCTGCTGCTCCTCCTGCTGCTCCTCCTGCTGCTCCTCCTGCTGCTCCTCCTGCTGCTCCTCCTGCTGCTCCTCCTGCTGCTCCTCCTGCTGCTCCTCCTGCTGCTCCTCCTGCTGCTCCTCCTGCTGCTCCTCCTGCTGCTCCTCCTGCTGCTCCTCCTGCTGCTCCTCCTGCTGCTCCTCCTGCTGCTCCTCCTGCTGCTCCTCCTGCTGCTCCTCCTGCTGCTCCTCCTGCTGCTCCTCCTGCTGCTCCTCCTGCTGCTCCTCCTGCTGCTCCTCCTGCTGCTCCTCCTGCTGCTCCTCCTGCTGCTCCTCCTGCTGCTCCTCCTGCTGCTCCTCCTGCTGCTCCTCCTGCTGCTCCTCCTGCTGCTCCTCCTGCTGCTCCTCCTGCTGCTCCTCCTGCTGCTCCTCCTGCTGCTCCTCCTGCTGCTCCTCCTGCTGCTCCTCCTGCTGCTCCTCCTGCTGCTCCTCCTGCTGCTCCTCCTGCTGCTCCTCCTGCTGCTCCTCCTGCTGCTCCTCCTGCTGCTCCTCCTGCTGCTCCTCCTGCTGCTCCTCCTGCTGCTCCTCCTGCTGCTCCTCCTGCTGCTCCTCCTGCTGCTCCTCCTGCTGCTCCTCCTGCTGCTCCTCCTGCTGCTCCTCCTGCTGCTCCTCCTGCTGCTCCTCCTGCTGCTCCTCCTGCTGCTCCTCCTGCTGCTCCTCCTGCTGCTCCTCCTGCTGCTCCTCCTGCTGCTCCTCCTGCTGCTCCTCCTGCTGCTCCTCCTGCTGCTCCTCCTGCTGCTCCTCCTGCTGCTCCTCCTGCTGCTCCTCCTGCTGCTCCTCCTGCTGCTCCTCCTGCTGCTCCTCCTGCTGCTCCTCCTGCTGCTCCTCCTGCTGCTCCTCCTGCTGCTCCTCCTGCTGCTCCTCCTGCTGCTCCTCCTGCTGCTCCTCCTGCTGCTCCTCCTGCTGCTCCTCCTGCTGCTCCTCCTGCTGCTCCTCCTGCTGCTCCTCCTGCTGCTCCTCCTGCTGCTCCTCCTGCTGCTCCTCCTGCTGCTCCTCCTGCTGCTCCTCCTGCTGCTCCTCCTGCTGCTCCTCCTGCTGCTCCTCCTGCTGCTCCTCCTGCTGCTCCTCCTGCTGCTCCTCCTGCTGCTCCTCCTGCTGCTCCTCCTGCTGCTCCTCCTGCTGCTCCTCCTGCTGCTCCTCCTGCTGCTCCTCCTGCTGCTCCTCCTGCTGCTCCTCCTGCTGCTCCTCCTGCTGCTCCTCCTGCTGCTCCTCCTGCTGCTCCTCCTGCTGCTCCTCCTGCTGCTCCTCCTGCTGCTCCTCCTGCTGCTCCTCCTGCTGCTCCTCCTGCTGCTCCTCCTGCTGCTCCTCCTGCTGCTCCTCCTGCTGCTCCTCCTGCTGCTCCTCCTGCTGCTCCTCCTGCTGCTCCTCCTGCTGCTCCTCCTGCTGCTCCTCCTGCTGCTCCTCCTGCTGCTCCTCCTGCTGCTCCTCCTGCTGCTCCTCCTGCTGCTCCTCCTGCTGCTCCTCCTGCTGCTCCTCCTGCTGCTCCTCCTGCTGCTCCTCCTGCTGCTCCTCCTGCTGCTCCTCCTGCTGCTCCTCCTGCTGCTCCTCCTGCTGCTCCTCCTGCTGCTCCTCCTGCTGCTCCTCCTGCTGCTCCTCCTGCTGCTCCTCCTGCTGCTCCTCCTGCTGCTCCTCCTGCTGCTCCTCCTGCTGCTCCTCCTGCTGCTCCTCCTGCTGCTCCTCCTGCTGCTCCTCCTGCTGCTCCTCCTGCTGCTCCTCCTGCTGCTCCTCCTGCTGCTCCTCCTGCTGCTCCTCCTGCTGCTCCTCCTGCTGCTCCTCCTGCTGCTCCTCCTGCTGCTCCTCCTGCTGCTCCTCCTGCTGCTCCTCCTGCTGCTCCTCCTGCTGCTCCTCCTGCTGCTCCTCCTGCTGCTCCTCCTGCTGCTCCTCCTGCTGCTCCTCCTGCTGCTCCTCCTGCTGCTCCTCCTGCTGCTCCTCCTGCTGCTCCTCCTGCTGCTCCTCCTGCTGCTCCTCCTGCTGCTCCTCCTGCTGCTCCTCCTGCTGCTCCTCCTGCTGCTCCTCCTGCTGCTCCTCCTGCTGCTCCTCCTGCTGCTCCTCCTGCTGCTCCTCCTGCTGCTCCTCCTGCTGCTCCTCCTGCTGCTCCTCCTGCTGCTCCTCCTGCTGCTCCTCCTGCTGCTCCTCCTGCTGCTCCTCCTGCTGCTCCTCCTGCTGCTCCTCCTGCTGCTCCTCCTGCTGCTCCTCCTGCTGCTCCTCCTGCTGCTCCTCCTGCTGCTCCTCCTGCTGCTCCTCCTGCTGCTCCTCCTGCTGCTCCTCCTGCTGCTCCTCCTGCTGCTCCTCCTGCTGCTCCTCCTGCTGCTCCTCCTGCTGCTCCTCCTGCTGCTCCTCCTGCTGCTCCTCCTGCTGCTCCTCCTGCTGCTCCTCCTGCTGCTCCTCCTGCTGCTCCTCCTGCTGCTCCTCCTGCTGCTCCTCCTGCTGCTCCTCCTGCTGCTCCTCCTGCTGCTCCTCCTGCTGCTCCTCCTGCTGCTCCTCCTGCTGCTCCTCCTGCTGCTCCTCCTGCTGCTCCTCCTGCTGCTCCTCCTGCTGCTCCTCCTGCTGCTCCTCCTGCTGCTCCTCCTGCTGCTCCTCCTGCTGCTCCTCCTGCTGCTCCTCCTGCTGCTCCTCCTGCTGCTCCTCCTGCTGCTCCTCCTGCTGCTCCTCCTGCTGCTCCTCCTGCTGCTCCTCCTGCTGCTCCTCCTGCTGCTCCTCCTGCTGCTCCTCCTGCTGCTCCTCCTGCTGCTCCTCCTGCTGCTCCTCCTGCTGCTCCTCCTGCTGCTCCTCCTGCTGCTCCTCCTGCTGCTCCTCCTGCTGCTCCTCCTGCTGCTCCTCCTGCTGCTCCTCCTGCTGCTCCTCCTGCTGCTCCTCCTGCTGCTCCTCCTGCTGCTCCTCCTGCTGCTCCTCCTGCTGCTCCTCCTGCTGCTCCCCCTGCTCCTCCTCCTCCTCCTGCTCCTGCTCCTGCTCCTCCTCCTCCTCCTGCTCCTCCTGCTCCTCCTCCTCCTGCTCCTGCGCCTGCGCCTGGGCCTGCGCCTGCACCTGCTCCTGCTTCTTCTTCTTCTTCTTTAACTCTTTATTCTCTTTACATTCCTTACCACAAAAGTCGTGTCGGCTGTAGCTTATTATAAATCATTTGTTTTTCCAGGGGGAATCCTCAGAATATTTTTTCCAACAATTGGACCGAGTTGGTCACCCGGTAAGTGTTTTTATCTCAGCTTATTATTTAAGACATTTAACAATGTACTAAGAGTGCACTGGGATTTTGCATTCGGAGTCAATATGAAACTGGCGAGCAATTATTGACACAAGAAACTATATAATGAAATTACCTGCAACTTATAATGCACAGACTTCCATTTATTGCTCATAAAAATGATAAATTATGGTACATTAAATAGAAATTAAGGACGGTGCCTACTTTTGTTGGTGCGCACACGTTCTGCGCATCACGCAAGCCATGGTTTAGCTCCACGCGCGCGCACTGGGGCTGACATTGACGCAATCAACTACGTTATCACGTACACGACAACAGAGCTGAAAAACGACTGCGCATGCGTAGGGTTTTGGCGGGTGAGTCATTCTCGTCCCCAGAGCCTCCGTTTGTTTTGGTCACGTGGTCGGAGAAACGGAGGGCTCTGGTAGCAGCCATTACCGGATGTCCGTAAATCACGGAAGAATATAATGGAATAAGCACCGAATATAATGAAGACAGCACCGCATATAAAGACATAAGCACCGAGTATACTGGAAAAAGCACCGAGTATAATGAGTTAATCACCCAATATAATAACATAAGTACTAAATATAATGACATAACCACCCAATATAATAAAAAAAAGTATCATAAGACAGTTTTAGCGTTCCATAGATATTGGCTTGCCATAAAAGGGTTGTCTCGTTTACAATATTTCCGTCACTTCCGGCTTCGGTCGTACACGAGAAGCCATCTATTCTAGGCTGGGAAGTCTATGTTTACTGCAGTTATCAAAGGCTAAGTATTGCACGGTTAGCTACAGGATAATCAGCTATCGGGTCGTCTATTTTACAGTCATGTCAAGCTGGCAACAACGGTTGTACGAAGCTTACTGCGGCTGCCTTATCAGCGAAGCAGAATTACGATCGAGGGAAATAGACAGACAAATTGCTGAAGATAGAGTTCGGTATCGTAACCAGAGAAACGTCTTGCTTTTGGGGACCCCAAGAAGCGGTCAAAGCACGTTTCTAACGCAAGTAAACATCTTGTATGGCGAGGATTTCGACAACGATGAATTAAATGAATTTCGTCCCACAGTTTATGGCGAAATCCTCAAGGGAATGAAGGTCCTGGCTAATGCACGAAGGGAGCTGAGACTAGTATGGCAAGATCCTTCGAACCAACAGCACGAAGACAGGATCTTGAATTTCCAAGCCCCTCAACACATCGACACAGAGAAGTTTATGAGCTACTTTGATAGTATAAAGAGTCTTTGGATGGATAAAGCAATTCAAGATGCGTACGACAGAAGAGGAGAATTTCAACTGGTAAGAATGTTTATTGATCTGATCTGTATGAGGTTATATATTACGCTTGCTATAAGGCTACTTCGCACTGCATGAGGCCACTTCGCACTCACTGTTGGAAGGTGTATCGGGTTTTTATGAGCAAAATGCTATGCATATTAACACAACTCGAGAGCCGAACGTTGAGCTGTTGCTTCATTACTCGACAAGTCACGGTATCAACAAAATTACTTTTTTCATGCAAATATCTACCCAATGCATGAACTTAGTTGTCCGCAATCTGATGTAACATCCTCCACGTGGGTCATTTCGTCAAAACACGGGGGCATAGCAAGTAGTCCTTGATCAAATTCCATGGCTATGGCCGTCGCGAATTTTTGCGCGACGACGGCCTTCTGGGAGTCTCCATTTCTTTTGCAAGGCTAAAAATGTCTCAGCTCGCAGAGGCCACCACTAAATGAGTTTCCTTTTAGTCCAGTTCTGGCTGTCGTTCTGGCTCTCTCTCTGTCATGCAAAGCGTTACCTTGGCCTGTTCCAGATCAGGCTCTCGGTTTGTGGGGGCAAGCAAAAGGGGAACGAGGCAACGCGAGAACGAGGGGGTCTGTGGACGAAAGCCCCACGTTTTTCTTCTCATTACCTTCATTCATGGCACGAAAAATTGGATTTACTCTAAATTTGATCCTGATCAAAGTCGAGGTCAAATATGATCATAGCTTTGATCCAAACTTTGACGTGCGTCAAAGGTATGTCAAAACTGTCATGGCTTTGCGGATACATTTGATCCATGACAAAGAAGAGGGCAAATGTGATGTTAACTTTGACTCCACCTTTGACCCACGTCAAAGGAGGAATCAAATATCTTATGGATT